GGAAGACAGGGATGAGCCAGGGAAGGGGGCGGGGCTGGGAGTTGCGGAGAGAAGTATGTGAGGAGCAGGTTGCTCCTCCCACCGGCTCAAAAGCCTTGAGCTCACCATCCAAAAACAAACAGGTTTTTAAAAAAATACTCACCCGGGGATCTTTTTATTTAGAAAAAAAGAAAAGAAAACAAACCGGAAAGCTGAATATCATATGACAGGGATGAGCCAGGGAAGGGGGCGGGGCTGGGAGTTGCGGAGAGAAGTATGTGAGGAGCAGGTTGCTCCTCCCACCGGCTCAAAAGCCTTGAGCTCACCATCCAAAAACAAACAGGTTTTTAAAAAAATACTCACCCGGGGATCTTTTTATTTAGAAAAAAAGAAAAGAAAACAAACCGGAAAGCTGAATATCATATGAAGTCACATGACTCTTGGGATTGGAGCTTTACAAAAAACACCAAACACAGGAGGACACATTCATAGATAAAGGTTCACCGTTTTGCCAACTCACAATTTTATTACAAATCTTGTGATGTTTGTTGGTCTTCTTACAGCTCCACCTCAAAGACTAGCTAGTGGGGCCAACTTTCTAATGATTCTAAACCAAACATCCTTGGCCTGCCCCCTGTCTTGCCCATTCCTCAAGGACCCAACCCTGCCCTACTTCTCCAAGGCCCCCCACTCCTCTCAGGGAGATATAGGGTGGGCACTAACAGTTGTGTGCCCCCTGAATGCCACTGGGGGTAGAGCCAAGGGGCCAGCAGCCAGAGACATCCTGTCCTAAAGACAGTTCATCTAACTTTGAGGGGCTCCACACTGTGCATGGGACTAGCAGGTGGTGGGAAGCAGATCTCCACCTCCCTCTGCTTCCCACAGCTGGTGAGTGCAGAGGGCAGTTCCTCCACTTTCCTTAAGCCCTGTTCCCCAGGGATGAAGATTAGCAGGGGGCCTGACACTGGAAGCAGCGATTGGGTCCCCCAATACTTAATGGCAGTGGCGGGAAGTAGAATGACCCAACCCTAGCCTGCTCTGCTCCCCTGACCCTTAGCTGTGTCACTGGGAAAGGAACTTGGTTGAACTGATGGCACCTCCCTTTGCACTCACCAGTGGCAGAGAAGTGGAGCAATGTGACTTAGAGCCAAAGGAACAGAGTGGGCTTGTGCCGGATTGCTTCTCCACTGTGGAGTACAGGGCAAAAGCTGACTGCTGCTGTTGGTGCCAAATCCCCCATTTTGCCCCCTGGACCAGCTGTGTCACTGGGAAAGGAACTTGGTTGAACTGATGGCACCTCCCTTTGCACTCACCAGTGGCAGAGAAGTGGAGCAATGTGACTTAGAGCCAAAGGAACAGAGTGGGCTTGTGCCGGATTGCTTCTCCACTGTGGAGTACAGGGCAAAAGCTGACTGCTGCTGTTGGTGCCAAATCCCCCATTTTGCCCCCTGGACCATGTGAGTGGATGCGGGATGGGGGAGGGAAGAAGTTCGGCCCCCCCCAGTAGGGATGTAAGTGAGTAGTCGACTACTCGCTTCCCTCCCTGCTGCTGCTTTTGTATCAGAGGCAGCAAGGGGAGAGGGGAATGGACCCAGTGCTGGGGGGATCCAGCTTAAAAGTTGGTTCCCCCAGCACTGTCTCTGTGGTGCCACTTGCCCCATGCCACTGTCTCTATCAGGCATGAGCTGGGTCAGAGCCAGGACCATTGTGTCTCTGCATTTTAAATGTAGTAAGAGCCACAGCGGTCCCAGACTGACCCCAGCCACAACTGAGCCAGACTTGTTTGGTTTTGGCTTGCACCAGCTCCAGCAGAAGCCCCTGTTCATGGCGGTCCAGGTTGGCCTCAGGCAGAGACTGCTCCAGCAGCAGTCCCTGTCCACACCCTGCTTGGACCCCCTGCAGATAGGGGCTGCTGCACCTGGTGAGAGCCAGGACCAAGCAAATCTGGCTCAGTCCTGGCTCTCAATGGTCTGGGACCTACCTCCCCTGTGGCTCTGCAGTTTAAATGTAGTAGGAGACAGGCTGCCTGCACGCCCAGTTTCTACTACATTTAAACTGCAGAGCTACAGCAGGGGTAGCTCCTGGACCAGTGCAAGCCAGCACAGAGCCCTTCTCTTATAGACATATTGTGTGGTGGATACAAATTGTATCGACTGCACAATTAGTCAATTACTCATCTCTTAGCATACCTACCCATTCTAATAGTGGCATGGGGGAGCAGTCATATGGGGGCAGTCACATGGCCAGCGGTCTTGAGTCCCTCCTTAGCAGTCACCAGTAGGTGCAGGGAGTGTTTCGAGCTAGGGTAGGGATTTGGACTCCAAGAGGGAGTTTGGGTGTGGAAGGGAGCTCAGAGCTGGTGTAACCCACATACCTAGTTTGGGTCTCTGTCCCATGAAGTGGCACCTAGACCACAGCAACAAATAAAAACAAGAGACCTCTACAGTATAGCTGAAAGGGTAGAGGCTCCTATACTAAGCTTCCCAGGTTCAAATCTATCTGGTGACAGTTACACTGGGACAAGAGAGTTGGGGTGCACAAGAGCATAAAATGGCCATACTGGGTCAGACCAAAGATCCATCTAGCCCAGTATCCTGTCTTTCTACAGACAACCAAGGAAAGGTGCTGTAGAGAGAATGAAAAGAACAGATATTCACTGAGTTGCTTGTTCCCAGCACCTGGAAAACAGAGGCAAGGGTCACCATCCCTATCCATCCTCACTTACAGCCATTGATGGACCTATCCTTCACGAATTTATTTAGTTCTTTTTTGAACCCTATCATAGTCTTGGCCTTCACAACATCCTCTGGCCAAAATTCCGTACGTTGACTGCACATTGTGTGATAATATATTTCCTTTTGTTTGTTTTAAACTTGCTGTTTATTCATTTTATTTGGTGACCCCTAGCTTTTGTGTTATGAGGAGGAGTAAATAGCTCTTCCCTGTTTACTTTCTCTACACTGGTCATGATTTTATAGATCTTTAGTGATATCCCCGCTTAATTGTCTCTTTTCCTAGCTGAAAAGTGCCAGTTTTATTAATCTCTCCTCATAATATAGAAGCCATTCCATATCTCGAATCATTTTTGTTGTCCTTTTCTGAACCTTTTCCAATTCCACTATATACTTTTTGAGATAGGGCAATCACATATGCACAAGCTGTGGATGTACCATGGATTTATATAGAGCAAATATGATATTTTCTGTTTTATTATCTATCTCTTTGTTAATGATTCCCAACATTCAGTTCACTCTTTTGACTATCACTGCACATCAAGTAGATGTTTTCAGAGATCTATCCGCAACGACTCCAAGATGTCTTTCTTGAGTAATAACAGCTAATTTAGACACCATCATTTTATTTGTATAGTTAGGATTATGTTTTCCCATGTGGACTATTTTGCATTTATAAACATTACATTTCATCTACCATTTGGTTGCCTAGTCACCCAGTTTTGAGAGATTCTTTTGCCAACCAGCTCTTAATACATTTAAAAAGCAGAGTCGCAGCATCTGGGACTGGGCACGAGCCGGGAATCAGTAGAGATGTTTTACGTAGAGAAAGCTCATAGAGTTCACTCTCTTTATCAGTGAAAGAGAAATATGCACAGCTGTTCTCCACAAGTAACAATTATTTATACTGGGCTTGACAATAAATGTATTTTATTAAGTATAAAAAATAGGATTTAAGTGGTTGCAAGTGATGACAGACAGATCAAAGTGAGATACTAAGTCAAAATATACAAAACATGCCAGCTAAGACTAATACACGAAGAGATATTGTAACATATCATATTTTCTCACACTAGTCCTTATTTCAGGTAAAGTCCTTCAGGACAGAGCAGATCTTTTCTCTGACTTGGACCCACCTGCTTCTCTCCCTTTGTTTCCAGGTCTCTTCATATGTCCTTTTGTGGTGGGGATCATTCTGTGAAGCCAGCTGAAGACCATCATTGTTTGCTTCCCATTCCTTAAATAGAATTTCCACAGGATGGGGAAATCTTTGTTCCATTCATCCACCCCAGTGGAAAAATATCAAATTCAGGATGGATTCCAAAACCAAGTGGCATAGTCACACGACTTTATAGGATCAACCATAGTTTAGGCTTACGGGAACAACAAGACTATTCACAGATCATTGCTGTGAGCTCTGGGCCAAGTTCCTTAAGTACCATTAATGGCTCTCACTAGCAGATCTAGATTAATAAACAGCTTTACACTTCATATTTCTAACTTCACATACAAGTGTCTGCTGTTGCCTGTGCCAGAAGAACACGAAAGATAAACGCATACAAATAGAGTATATACATTCAGGCTATGTCTACACTCGGAGCTTCTTGCACGAGTAATATGCAAATGAGTATAAGCGTGGAATATCGCCGAGCCTCATTTGCATACCTAACGAGCAACCATTTTTTTCAGAAGAGGCTCTTGCACAAGAAAGAGCGTCTACACTGCCCCTTTTTGTGCAAGAAAAACCCTCTTGCGCAATGCCGTTACACCTATTACTTTTCAGGAAGAACGGCATTGCGCAAGAGGGTTTTTCTTATGCAAGAATGGGCCGTGTAGATGCTCCTTCTTGTGCAAGAGCCTCTTCTGAAAAAAATGGTGGCTCATTAGGTATGCAAATGAGGCTTGGCGATATTCCACACTTAGCC